CTGCTGCTTCTGTGACATCAGGGTCTCCTCGTCTCTGTGACCTCACTGCCTGCTCCTTCTGCACCATCTTTGTTGGTTCCTCCTTGTCACCTGCAGACATTAGATGTACCCAGGCTTATTCCTGGGCTCTCTCTGCCTTCACAGTCCCCTCTTCCCAGCTCTCATCATTCAGAGCAAGGCGTCAGAAATTCGCTGCATGCTTAAATCCCCAGACTACTGCAGCATGATGGCATCCCTGCTACAAACCTGTGTGTCCAGCTGCCTCCCTGACACCTCCGCTTCAGTGCAGATGGGCCCTTCCAGAACAGATATCCATCCTCCGTATGTTGCTATAAATGGTTGGGGGAAAAAATAACATAATTTTTTTTTAACTCTTTATTAGAGTTAAAATATAATTAGAGTTAGGGATATAGATATATCTTAAATCCCCCCGGTTTAACTTAATGCCTTGATAAAAGAGTTTTTAATTAGTTCTTAGCAGAGCCTCTGTGGGCTCACAGCAGCTTGAGGCTGTTCTCCAGCTCTCTGCTCCTACTCACTCATCTCTTTCTTTCTGAATTGCTTGAGGTTGGACTTTGCAAAATACACATGACCATGGAACCCTAGAATGAATGAGGGAATGCTAACCCCTGATAATCTGAATGGTTTCATTTCAAGGTATCAAGATACTGTACCGTGAAGTCTTGTCTTTGCTTCTTTCTGCTGCGTGTGTGCCTGTGTGTGTGTGTGTGTGTGTGTGTATGTGTGGTGTAGTTCTCTTAAAAAGCACACGTGGGAACCAGCAGTTAGCATAATGGCTATGTCGCTGGACTCCCACGTAGGCGACCACGGTTCGCGTCCCGGACCCGGTGACTTAAAACTCACGCTGGGCGCGTGTGCATGCGTGCCTAAGATCCCAAGAGGAGAATGGGGGAGAAGGGATTGCGGCGTGACCATCCCCCCTGGGAGGTGATTTCTCGCTTTCTGTCTCTATGTCTCTCTGTCTATCTGGCGAGCGCGTGTGCCCTACAGCAAAAACCTCTCCAAAAAATTTTTTTAAAAAAGCACATGTATTGCTTTTTTTTTTTTTTTTTCTCTAATCTGGCGTTTAACTATAAAATCACTCAAAATCTAGTGTCTGAATTTAAGGGAGTTGTAGCTAAGAGAAGAGAAAACAAGGACAATTACTTTATTTCCTGATCAGGTATCCTTCACTGACATTCAATAATTTCATCAACTTTGGATTTCAAAACCACACAAGGTCTATTAAATTCATGTATTTAACAAATTGACTAAGTGCCTACTGGGTACCAGGTGTGATAAATGCTTGACTTTATCAAGAAAGAATTAAACAGACTTAGATACTTAGATTTCACAAAAATCTAAACTATATCTAGAATAATTTTATTTCAATTTTTTGAGAACACACATTTGAAGAAAATAGAAGCATTGGCTTTCCAAATAAATAGCTATGGGAAAACGCGATGTGATTAATTGGCAAGTGAGGTAGGGAAATTGATGGGAAAGGGTAACTCAGAGCTATTCATGTATTTTTCATTCATTCATTCTTTCTTTTTTTTCTTTTTAAATTGCTATAGAGCATATGTGTTTGTCTGAGAGAGTCAGAAAGAGAGAAAGTAAGAAATGACCTCCCAGAGGGGATCGCCATGCCACAATCTCTTCTCCTCCTTTCTCTCAGGGCTGTGGGCATGCATGCACATGTGCCTGGTTGTTTTTTAAGCAGCAGGGCCTGGGACTTGAACTGTCTAGGACTTGACTTAACTATGTGGGATCCAGTGCCCAAACATCAACCCCACAGGCTGGTCCTCATGTATTTCTTAATGTTTAATGGCTTAGGAAATTCAGAGTTAGAGTATACTTTATTATTTTGTATTGTTTAGTCATTATTGTTTATTATAGTTTCATAGTTTTCTGTATCTTTTGGCCATTGTTGACAGCTTATTAACAAGTATGTTTGTTGACTTGTTTACATAACCCAGAGGGCACATGTATGTGTGTGGGGGGGGTGGGGGGAAATAGCACCCCCTACCCCCAGGGCTTGGTCAAAACACGGTCCTTTTTCCTTTTTTTCTCCTCCTCCCATCAGGATCCCGGGCATGTGCGTGGCAGCCAGTGTACTTTACAAGCCCTCAGGGCTGGGACTTGAACCCGGGTCAGACATGAGATCTAGCTCCCTCTAGACCACAGGATTGGCCCTTTTTCTCATTTTTCTTAGCTAGCTCTGGTTGTCTAGTGGAATTTAAAAGGTCATATAAAGAGGAAGTATTTTCCTCTCTCATTCTGTTTGTGATTTAATAACTATGTTAGGTTTTCTGTGTAAGAAAAACAGGCACTATAGACATGAATAGGTAACAAATTGGCTCCTTCTTGAATCATTATGTGAGGACAAAACTGAGAAAGAAGGAGCTGGGTTGAACTATTTAAATGTGAATAATTGCATGGTGAAGGAATTCAAGCGAAGTCATTATCAGAAATCTCTTGGGAATGTGCTCTTCAGAAAACGTGTGGGAAAGGTCAGAATCCAGTGGGGGAAAGTGACCCTTTATGAAGTGTATTTGTATGGTCTTTTGAATATCTCAATTAGCTAGTTATATAGAGAAGCATAAAATAAATGAGAGGTTATTCCAATCTGTAAAGTAAATTTAAACTCAATTTATAGTCTCTCAAAATGTTATAGGTACTCTGAAACTACCCAACTGGCATGCCGAAGGGTGGTGGGCTGAACTTTTTGAAGGCATCTGGACTGTATTGTTTTGAATGGTCGAAATGGCTTCCGATCCGGTAATTTCAGGTGTGTGAGATGCACTTGAGTATGAACTACGTGAAAATGTTAGAAACGTGTTATTTACGATTGCCAAGACAGTCATGTGTGGGTGATCACTTAAATGGCAGTACGATATGCAGGCCAAGTGTAATTATTTCTACTTCGGCAGCATTTCACTAAAAGTGGTCAAATAAATCACTGTTTGCAGTTCTCATTGACTCTTTGGGGGGGAAAAGACAAGTCTCTTTATTGCTATTGATATTTTTTGAGTTCTTTGGATAAAATATTTTTCACACTACCGAGTAGTCTCAGGCATAAATTCTGAGAAAACCTTGTTAGTTCATTTAAAGATTAATCCATTTTTCAAGTTTATAGAGTATCTATACATTTAGCAGCTGATTTGGAATCAAATAAATAGACCTAACCAACCAAATCGGTGTGTATTTTTGTTTAAATTCTGAGAGTTATCTCATGTTCTCTTTCTATGCTTATGTTCTACCCACCTGCCAGGTGGAGTTTTAACCCAACTTCTTGAGCTAAGGTTAGAATTTATCATTTGAAATTAAACTTGCATAGGTAATACATAAGTATATTCCTGTAGAAAGTTCAAATAGTACTTAAGAGTCGCAATCCCCACTCATCCCTTCACTCTCACTTCTCTTTTCAGAGGTAGCTATATGCCATTGTTGTGGAACTTGTTCATGTAACGAGTTACCACGATTTTAGCTGAGGGCTCTGTCCTGTTACCTCAGTTCTGAAGTTGAAGTTCCAGTGGCCTTGCCTGGTTTCCTGGCCCAGATCTCAGGCTGAGAGCTGAGGTTCTCCTGTGGTTCTGGGGTCCTCTCCAGCCTCAGGTGTTTTTGCCAGAATTGATCTCCTCACACTTTCTATCTGGTTCCCTTTGTCTTTGAATCAGCAAGACGCAAGGCTTTCTCAGGCTTTAAACATTCCCCTTCTGCATTTTGTCTGACTTCCTCTTCTGCCCTCAGCTGGGAAAACGCTTTCCTTTTAAAGGCACCTATGATTCTGTCGGACTTCCTTGCATAACTCAATATAATCGCCCTGTTTTAAACTCAACTGATTAGTAATCTAAATGAAATTCTTTTTTTTTTTTTTTTTTAATTCACCGAAGGGCATATGTGCTCACTGAGGAGAGACACAGAGAGAGGTAGAGGGAAAGTGAGAAAGAACACCCTATGGGGGTTGGCCACACCACAGTCTCTTCTACATTTCTCCTTTGAGAATTTGGGCATACATGCACACATGCCTGGCAAGTTTGTTAAGCCTCTGACTCGAGGACTCAAACTGTACCATTGCCAGATGTGATCTGGCTGCCTTAACCACCACACCACTGGCTGGCCCCTTAAATGAAAGAATATTTTTGTTGTAAATTTTTTTTGTTATAAAATTATCTCTCTGGACAGAGACAGAAGGAAAGTGAGAAATCACCCCTCAGGGAGGATGGCCATGGCACAGTCCCTTTTCCTTCATTCTCTTCTTGGTATCTTGGGCCCATGCCTATGTGCCTGGCATGATTTTCAAGCTTCCAGGTCAGGGACTCTAATCACTCGAATCTCTCTGGTTTGGAATCCAGCTCCTTAACCACCATGCCACATGCTAGCTCCAAATGAAATCTTTTAATAAAAATGTTTGCTTACTTATTTCTTTCATGACAGAAACAGAGACAGGAACAAAGAGACAGAGAGACGGCACCCCTAACAGGGTCCTGACCTGGTGATCTGACCCCAGCCCCAGCGTGGCCCAGATCGTGGGCATGTGTGTTAGGCATTTTCTAGGAGATCTCTGGACTTGAACTGGCAACCTTACCAGGTGGGTCAGTCTCCCAGAATGTCCTGCTTTATTACTGCACCTCTGTCTACCCCCTTACGTGTAACTCGTGGAGGTGACCCCAGGAATGAATGCCATGGAGGCCAAAATATGCCTGCCAGACTCTGGCTCTGGCTGTCAATTTGTGTCAATTTGGTGCTTTTAAATTGTGTTAATGTTTTTAGGATAAAATATGTAGGTTTTTTTTTTTCTTTTTAAGAGATATTTCTGCACTTGCCAGGGAGACAGAGACAGAAAATGGGAAATCACCCCTAGGGGATGGCCACGCCACAATCCCTTCTCCATTCTCCTCTAGGGATTTTGGGCATGCACACACACGTGCCCAAAGTCAGTTTTAAGCCACTGCATCTGGGGGACTTGAATTGTGGTCAGCAATGTGGGAGTCCAGTGATGTAACCATTATGCCATCTGCTGGTCCCTGTAGCTGATTTTATTAGTAGCTATGACTGGGTACTTGGACTGGAATGTATCTTCCCTATTTTCTAAGTTTTATTATATAAATTAGGTATCATTTACTAATTGTTATTTAAATCATTTAAATCTCGACTTATTGTGATCTGCTTGATTTAGATGGAAAATGAGTATTTTCTATTAGTAACTCATTTATGCCTCTCTTTTTTCTATGTGTGTGTGTGTGTTTGTGTGTGTGTGTTTGGCCTTCAGATGTGGTGGTAACACTATCGGGGGCATAGATATTCCTAAATTATTT